GGGGGGCGAGGCAGGAAGGTCCGGGGGGGGGCTCCTTAGCGTCGGCCAGGGGTATTTGCAGGGCAGCCAACTCCTGGACCCAAGAAGTGGGTCAGGACAAAGACGGCGATCCCTCGCTTTTCTCCGAGGGCGGACAGGTTATTTATTGGGGGCGGGGGTTTAAGAGAAGAGGTCCCTCCACCGGGAAGCCCGCAAGCGGACGAGGTTGCGTTTTCTAGCTTCAAGGAATCTTTTTCAGGTGAACGTGTCTGCTGGGGAAGTTTGGCTCTGGTTGGCATATCTGCCGGGTGCAAGGATTCTGGGAAGTCTTCCAGGCAGAGTAATATGGTTCTTGCAGTGGGTTGGGCCCAACTTTTGTTGTTTGGGCCGCTGTAAACAGCAGACCTTAGAGTACCCCAGCAAATCAGTTGTGGTTGTGATCTGCAGAAGAGATAGTGGTAAGTCAGCTTTCAGGGAAGCTTGTCTGCCATTTTCTAACTCTAATTCTTTCAAAATAACTGCTGTAAGAGACTAGGATAGTCTACTGCCATGCCAAGCCTTCAGATAGCTTTCCTAAGGATATGCTCATATATGAATGGACAAGAGATGGCTTACTGTGGTTGTGCAAAATAAGCATTGAGTTTAAATAATTTAAATACCAGTTTGAGAAAGATTTTGTATGAAATCGAGGCTGCTGTAGCATGGAAACTTGTGCGGCAGTTAATAAAGGGAGAGATTTTTTATCTGAGGGCTTCACTGATTTTATGGGAAAATGCAGTGGCTTTTCATTGAGTGAGGATAGGATGGAGAGAACATGACTAGGAAGTAAGAAGCTCAGATGATTCTGCTTAGGAGTAAAATAGGTTATCGTAGCATGTGTTTGAAGGGAAATCTAGGCAAAGAGTATGTTGAATGTAAATACACAGTCAAGGAAGATGATTTATGTGTTTTTTTTTAATGAGAGATCTTCTAGTTGATGGGAGAGAGCAATCTTCTAGTGCTGAGGATATATGTTTTGAGAAATACACTGAAAACTGGAAGAATATTGGCTGTTCATGTTTTGTAATGGAATCTACATTGTTTAAAACTCATTATGTTTGGGCTGCTTTATGTAAAACAATAGTGACAGGATTTGTTTTGTTTTTGCACAACTGCTGGTATACAAAAGAAGTTTCCATAATGGGAGGCTCATCTAACTTTAGTTTTACATTGATTTGAAAAGGCAGAAGTTGCCCTAAATATAGATTGATGATTTTAGTATCTGAAAGTAGTTCCAGTGTTTTTTTTTTTAAAGATACTTATGATTTTAGTGTTTTGAAATTAATGGTTAATGGTTTCTGGTAGAATGGGCAGTATAGAAATAAATTTTAAACATGAGTATGGTTGGAGTGTTGCCACCCTCATTAATCTTGAAAGACTCAAGTCTCTTCTCCAGATCCCTAGAGAACATTCTCTACTTACTTATGAAGAATTTGTTTGCCGACAGTTATTTTCTAACTCTCTCTCTCTCTCTCTGTGTGTGTGTGTGTGTGTATATGCACACACACACACACACACACACACAGAGATGAGTCACTGAGTTCCAAATGAAAATAGGGAAAACATAGGAATGGACTCCTAGTTAGTGGTAGACTACAGCTTTGTAGCAGAATTCAAGATTTGGAGGAAAGGAGATGTTTTTAAAAGACAAATGAGAGGAAATGTGGCACCATGTATATATTTATGAAGGGTTCTGGAATCAAGTACTAGTAATGAGGGCTTTATGGAAGTCTAAAATGGCTGGTAAGGGAAAGAGAAAATTTAGCAAAAATTCTGCTTTACTGGTATTCTCCTTTCCTTCAAAATAGGTCGCAGAAATCATCTGTTATTATCATTCTGTTACTATCTGTGTATGTAGAGGTAGAGGGAAAGTTTCCCAATGTATGTGACGGTTGGGCTATAATTTCATCAAGTTGCCTAAATGGTATTTTAAATGACACATTAACAAGAAGAACTGGAGATCATCGGAATTTATGGATACATCTGTCCCTCTTTTTGAGCATGCACAGATGAATAAATGCAGTAGGCAGTATGAGAACAGAAAGGAGAAATAAGGCATTTCCCCTGCCTCCAGGGGGTAAAATAGCATGGGGAGAGGATTTAGCATGTATGAAAAAAAAAGAGCAAACACACTTTTTTTTTTTTTTTGCTACCCTACTTTTATGGCTAATTGGTGCTTTACAAATATCTTGGAAGATTGTTCATGGATCTTTCCTGCAATAGAAATTGTTTGATTCTAAGGGGATACAGACTTTGTATTACTCTGTTGTTAATTAAAATACAGTAGTTTCAAAGACACACCTGGAATCTCTATCTTTTAATCCAGAATCTTAAGATATAAATTATCTTCACTCAGAAAAAGTTGCTGTTTAAGCATTTCGTGTTTTAATCTCTGGGTCCAATATGGTAACATCTCCATTTAGCATGTATCTATTTGGAGCTTTTTGATTTCACCCTATTTCTAGTTATAAATTACTTGTTTTTCTTCCCTTTGTTCAGATTCTCCAAATGGATGAATATATGTGAAATACTAGCCCAAGAAATTAATTTTGCTGAGACTCAAATTTTGTAATGATTAAGTCTTGTGGTTGGAATACTGGAATTCACAATGGCTATTCTTATGCATAGTGTTGAAGCCAACCCTTTGGGATTGGATTCCTTTTGGCTTTCTTTTAAATGAACAAGCACCATTCTTGCTGGGCAATTTTTTGCACAATAAACTCAAAGCTTTGCTTATGATACTGGGACTATCGTAGCATAGCATATCAACATAACACTACAGTCGATCTAATCTGTAGGTCTAGTTTGAAATCAGCATGTCTTGGATGTGAGAAGAGGTGCATTTGTGTGATTTATGTTCAAATGGAAGGTAATATGATGACCCTTTATTTCTGTAAAAATAGAAAATTTCAAAAGTAGATTTTGTACTAAACCATAGTTTTCTGTTGTATTAGATCATTGGATCATTTTCAAAACAAAGTGACCTAAAGGTCTGAACCAACTGTTTTTGTATGGACATTGAGTTATACATTTTATATTGGTCAGTTTGAAAGAATGCAGTATTAAATATCAGAAATTCCCATGTAATTCTTTATATTTAAAGGCTGTAGTGTTGAGAATATCAGTTTTGGTGTTTTATGAAATGGTTGCTTCAAAGAAAGCAACCATATTAGTTTTGCAACTAAGATAACTGGAAACAGATGTGAAAGAGCTACCGGTGATCAAATTTCAAATTTACCTGTTTCAAATTTAGCTATGGAAGCTCCACAGAAAAATTTTGTCGTGGGACATCAATCAAAAGGGACTGTCACACAAGAAGATGGCAGCCCTCCAGCAAAAAAAGCAATGACAGAAGTGCATGTAAAGGATAAAGTACAAATAATGGTAAATAAGTTGCCAGCAATTAAGAAGGAACATTTAGATGAATGTGAAGAAAATCCTATGGATGACAGAGAGGAAGATGCCAAACCAAATATTGCTGTAGTATCTGAGCCTTTGAATTTAAATCCTGGTTTGAAACATACATTGGCACAATTCCATTTAAGCAGCCAGAGTTCACTTGGTGGACCAGCAGCATTTTCGGCTCGCCATTCCCAAGAAAACATGTCATCTGTTTTTGTACCTCTTCCATCACCTCAAATTCTTCCTGGCCCATTGCTTGTTCCTTCAGATAGCTCTACAGAGTTGACTCAGACTTTACTGGAAGGGGAGTCTATATCTTGCTTTAAAGTTGGAGGAGAAAAGAGACTTTGTCTGCCTCAAGTTTTGAATTCCGTTCTCAGAGACTTTTCTCTACAGCAAATTAACACAGTGTGTGATGAACTTTACATCTATTGCTCTAGATGCAGTTCTGATCAGCTTCACATCTTAAAGGTTTTGGGGATTCTGCCCTTTAATGCTCCTTCTTGTGGACTTATCACATTGACCGATGCTCAGAGATTATGCAATGCATTGTTGCGCCCTCGCACTTTTTCTCAAAATGGCAGCCTGCTTCATACTAAAAGTTCACTGGCCCAACTAAAAGAGACTGGAAGTGCCTTTGAAGTAGAACATGAATGCTTGGGCAAGTGTCAGGGTTTGTTTGCTTCACAGTTTTATCTTCAGCCAGATTCCCCATGTATCCAGTGTTCAGAATGCTATGGGATGTTTTCACCCCAAACGTTTGTGATGCATTCCCATCGATCTCCAGACAAGAGGACTTGTCACTGGGGCTTTGAATCAGCGAAGTGGCACTGTTACCTTCACATTAACCAAAAATATTTAGGAACACCAGAAGAAAGAAATTTGAAGCAACTCTTAGAACAAATGAAAGAAAAATTTAGCATGAAGAATCAGAAAATACCCCAGTCTAAGGTAAGTTTGTTTATAACTCTATAATATTTGAGTACATTAGTTGTAAAAATTGCTTTAAGTACATTAAGCGGGTGCTTCATAAATCTAAATGTGTTCCTTTATATTTTTGAAAAAGCTGAACTGTGAGCACAAAGTATTATTGTATAATAGCCAATACTGAGAAAATAATATGTTTCAAATACTGTAGGCTTGAAATGCTATTTATGATGTATGACTATGGCAAGGCGAAGACTTTTGTTGTAAAAAAAAGTCTAGGTGAATTTGCTTTATATATAAAACTTGAATGCCTAAAATAATCAGGAACTGTGCATTGGTAAAAGTAAAGATGCAGCTCAGTCTGTATATGCAGCAGTATGTGAAAAAAAGAATACCTAAGAGTGTGGAGGCAAGGGTTTTTATTAAAAAAATACTCAGGAGATTTTCACGTACTTATTTAATGCCATGACTAAATGGTATCTGATATAGAAGAATACCATTGATTAGGTAAATTCCATCAAGTCTGGTTTGACTTCTGATAACTGCATAGTTAGATACCATTTTGATCTGTCTGCAGTAGTATGGCATAACTTTTTTATGGACAATGTTGTAATCTTGTTGATTCTGTCCATCTACTTTTCTGTTGTCTTCTCTCTCTCTCTTATTCCCTCAGTGTCGCTAAATTGTTTTTTATACTCCATCATCCCTTTGCATCATAGGACTAGAGTATGTAAGTTTTTGCTTATTAACACTGCCTTAAAGGAGCAATCAATGTAATCCAGGATTGGTGAATTGATTTTTCTTCTGATCCATGTTACTCTTAATAACCATCTCCATATCCATAATTCAGAGGCATCTGTCCTTTTTATCTTGGTTTGTTTCAATGCCCAGCTTTCACAGCTCTGCATTACCACTGGAGAGACCACTGCTTTCACTGTACCAGAAAGACCATTGCTTTTACTATAATGATTTTTATTGTAGAAATATTCTTCATAATCTTGTTTAAGTTTGTAATTGCTTCCCTTCTTACAATTAATTTCTTCTTTATTTCTTCCGCAGACAGTCCAGTTTTATGAGTTCTTGACCCCCCCCAAAACCCCCACTTCTTTACTTCTTGGTTGTCAGTTATAAATTCACTAAGCACACTGGTTGACATTACCTCTTAATATTTAGCATTAACCCAGATTTTTCACTTTCTGACTTACTTACATAATGACCTTTTCTAACATTAAGCTAACAAAGTGGTGATTTTTGCATATTTCAAATTGTTAATGTTTTCACTTCCAGTTTTGAGTCTTAATTTCTTCCAGTCCTGCCTTTCTTATAATATATTCACTGAAAACATTAAACAGATGTGCAGTGTTCATCCTTGACTCTCTTTGTTTCCTGTTCTGAACTATTTCTTAATTCTTTTTCTTTTGTTATTTTCATGTATACTTTGATATGCTTTAATTGAGATCTTCTGTCCAAATCTTCCTATAATTTCAGGTTTCTCCATTTCTCCTACTGCTATATTCCAGTTATCCTTTAGTAGTACTATGTCTTTTCTTGATGTTGCATTTAGTATCTCTTGCAGTTTGTCATAAAATTTCTCAATGTCTTCCACCACTGTGTTTGTTTTAGTTTCAAACATATAACATTGAATAATATTGAATATTCATTCAATATTCATTAATTCTAATAGATATAATCCTGTCATTTATTTAGATAAAGCCAAGCACATTTTTTTAGTACCTGGACCATTCCATTCTTTTTGTATGGTCTGATGCCATGAATATCATATAATTATAAACAAACAAATAAATAAATACAAATTTAATAATAAATAATAAAAAAATTAATATTTTGCTCCATGGTTTCTTTTATTTTGACTTTCTTCTGACCAATGATTCTTTCCTGTGTTGCATAATATATATTAAATTACAATTTCAGATAAATTTGAATCTCATGCATGGAATCTGGTTGACCTTGTGATGAATTTAAATATGGAAGTGGTATATAGTTTAAAGATCTTATGTATCTGTATTTCAGACTTACAGAGCCTTTAAATCTTTTTTTCTTTTTTGGCCATGTTTCTCCTCTCTTAACATTGCGGAAGGGAATATTCAGTAAGCATATTTGTGATCTCTGGTTTTGATTTGACTTCCTTCTTAGTTCATTGTAAAACAATTGCACATGCACATTAAAAATACAGGTAGTCCTTACTTAGTGACCACTTGTTCAGTGACCGTTCAAAGTTATGATAGCATTGAATGAGGGGGACTTATGACTGGTCCTTGAAGTTGCAGTTGGACATTTAGCAACTGGATCGCACTTACAATGGTTGCAGCATCCTGCGGTCACGTGATTGCCATTTGCGACCTTCTCTGCTGGCTTCCCACAAGGAAAGTCAGTGGGGAAGCTGGCAGGGAAGGTCACAAATCACTCCTGTAAGTTGCTCTGGCTGTTTTTTCTCCTGAGGAGCCCCCCACTGACAGGGTGAGTGTGGGCCCCACCAACTGCCCTCACTTGCACCACGTTGCAAAGCCCACTCATGGTCAGTGCCCATCCCCCACCTGCACTCATGCTGCAGTGCCCACCCGCACACCCCTGTTGCACTCATGCCGCACCCACCCCTGCCCGGCTGCACTTGCGCCATAGCACCCAACCCGTTTGCCCACATTCTGCTGGCTGGCTGGCCTGCTTGTGAGCCACCTCAGGAAAGGCTCATTATCGGGACTTGCAACTTCCTGCTGGCTTTCCCATTGAGTTTGCTTGTTGGAAGCTGTCAGGAAGTTGCAAGTCCCGATCACATGAGGTCCTCGCTTAACAATCCGCAATCCTTGCTTAACAGCAACAGGGACTACTGGGATTGCGCTTAGCGATGGAAATTCAGGCCCTAATTACCATTGTTAAGTAAGGTCTACCTAAGTAAGGAAAAGAGGCCACAGTAGGTGGAGCCTTTATATACACATGCACACATACTCGCACACATGCACAAGACAAGACATACATTTCTGACCTAATTTCAAACACTCTTTTTCAGTGAATTTAACTTAGCTCTGCTAAACTACCTCTGTAAAACAAATGTCATCAGAATTCTAAATAGTTTCTTATATGCCCTCTTTTAGTCTAACTACAGAATTGTAGCTCTTACCCAAAAATGTAAAGTGGATTTAGAAATAGAATGCAAAATACACAAGGTTTTTTAAAATAAAACTCTTCAATTGTTCCTATTATATATGCACTAACAGAAAGTGCAGAAACACTTTGCTGCTTCAGCAGTGCTTCTAACACTTCTGATTTGTGAACAACAACAGTGTTAAAATGCAGAGAACAGGGAACCTTCACATTTTGAAGAGAAAAGAGAAACTAACTGGGCTATGATGTGGGGAGGGATACCCTTCTGCTAGTATGAAATAGTCCTAATTCTGAAGAATTGTTGAAAAAGCATGAATGGGGGAAGCAGAGCCATTCGAAAATAAAATATTTCTTATATTCTTTTAAACTATATAATAAGGACTTGAAAAAAAATAAAGTCAGGGAAAGATTAGAAATACTAGAAGTCCATTGCCTTGCAAAAATTGGGGAGATGCTGTTGAAAACATGAAGTCATTTTAATGACAAATTCTGATTTTTATTGTCTTGGATTGCATATGTGAGTCAGAATAATTTTTAGCTATTTCTGCATTTGAGTTGAAAAAAGATTTGCATACAGTGTGCAAGCCATAGTGTGTGGTCATATGATTTTGATTTCTGTATGGAATTATGGGATGATGTCATTTTTAAAAGAAACCTCATGATGTTACATGTTCCTTCATCTCTATGAAAAGTAGTGCAGCATTAGAGGAAAAACTCCAGTGATATATGCAAACATCTTTTATAATAATGCATATATCTTATAAAACAGTGATTGTGTCCTTAATGCATAGCATTCCAAATAGCCTATCATGTTCCATATAAAGTTATATAGACCCATCTGTTGGCCCACTTTAATAGGCTAAAACAGTTTTGTTGTGTCTTAGAAAAAAAATCACTACATCTAAATTTCAGTATCTTTGTAGTCTTGATTTCCTTCTCATGTTCGTTATCAAAGCTCAGTACAAGGTTGGGTGCTTTCTTGATTTCATGTAGTAATTGGTGGAATTGGTGTAAATGTATTCTGGGTGGATAAAACTCATGGCAGCTATTACAATTTATTCAAGGCATTCGTGTTAAGCTTAAAGAGGCTAAAAGTATTGAATGAATACCATCATTCTGAATGCCTATTCTGACTCTCTCACTACAGACATGAAAAAACACATATGCACACCAGAATGCTGAAGTCCAAGCAGAAGTTCTTTCCAATTAAGATTTTTATCCTATTTGACTTGGCTCAATCCTGATAGAACTCAATAGATTAAATATTCTTGAAAGTATAAATGTTAAAGGTATCTTAGAATGTCAAAGCTGAACATTTTCCAAAAAGAGTTTACATGTAAGAGTTTACATTTCTGCCAATTCTTCATTTTTACAAAATCTATAAAATTTGCTTTCTATTAACAATATGTTAAAATCACTATTAATGATTTCATCTCAATTTTTGCTGAGGTTCTCAAAGTTCTGTTGACATGCCGTGTTTGAGATCCATATTCTGTGTTGTATAATCTCATCAATCACAGACATTGTTAGTTCCTTCTCCATTCATCCAGCCCAAACATTTTATGTAGAGAAAAGTTTGTTATTTGTATGGTGAAATGGTTGAAAATCAAATTCCATATGTTACTGTAAGTTTCTTCTTGTCACTTATGAGTTACTTTTCAGTTTCTGTCTTCCCAGCTAGAGTCGATCTCTGGAGTAGCATCCATGTAACAGGAGGAATTGCCTCTAGAAGGCATATTTCTTTGCTCCTATCTATTCATGAGAACCTTTCATTCATGTACAAAAGCTTCTTTGGACCATAATGAAAGTATTCATTAAATTATAAGTTAAATTCAAATTCTAGCTATCACAGTAATAAACTTTCTTATTGTTAGCCTCCATTTAAAAAAATCTCCTTGAAAAGATAGGGCTAACAGACCAGTACTGTATATGAATGAATGAATTCCTGGGTCTGTTGCATAACATTGGATAGGTCATCCCAGCCAATGGTGCTTTTATTGCCTCATGTTGGTTTTCTTGAAGTCTTGCCTTTGATTTCTTCTCTGTAAGCTTCAATATGTTTGCATAAGTTTGTGTACAGGTGTACTTTATTCATGCATACAGTTTCACAGGGTTTGAGTGAATTACATGACAAAGTCACAATTTCTTAAGTAGGCAATATACATTTCAGCTGATCAAAATACTGCACAAGATGCTGTGGTCTGTTGACTGAAACTAAGCGTAGAGCATTAGCTTACAATCTTTATGAAAGCTGCTTATCATTTCATTTACTGTATAGTTGGGTAGGGAAAATAGAAATGATGCTTCTTTTATATTAACTTGTGATTTCTTTTTTTCTATAACAAAATTGAGAAAAATTACAATACAGTTTCATTGGAATTTGTATTTTAAAACTAGAATGGTATATAACAAATGTAAATGTTTTCTCCCTCCTTAGGCAGATTCTCATTATAATGTAGAATTCCAGCAATGGTATCCAATTATAAAACAAGAAACAGATTCTACAGATCAGCCACATTCGTTTATACATCCCAGGTAACAGTCTTCTATTAATAAAAGTGATCAGAGGATACACAACTTGAACCTTATTTTAATTATTTCATAAGCTAACTATAAATATGATTTCATATTTTACATAATTTAATTATACTTTCTGTGGTTTGATGGAGAATGTACTATGTCTTTTATATACTGTTGGGTCTACACAAACAGTCTAAAGCAAAGCATTGTGTAATTGATGTAACTTTCACACAGGAGATTCTATTCTTCATTCCATTCCTTGGAATTACTGTTACCAGTATCTTTGGTAAGAACTAGTCCTACTCAAAACCTTAAACTTTCTCCTGGAGGTAACTAGAAGGTTTTAGTGTTTCCCAGCCTCTGATGCTGCTTAACACCTGTTATTAAGTGCCTTCCTTGACATCCACTTTGCCAGCACCAAAAAACTCAAATTGTGCTATTCCAGATACAAAACATGGTGGCTCCTGGAGCTTCCATCTGTATATACAGTATCCTCAAAGTCTCTAATTACCTGGTCTTTGATGTTCTGCACTTAGTCTGATTTGCGTTTCTGTGAACCTTAAGCTAAACACCTCCTGTTTTTCTGGAAATTGACTGCATAAGAAATGGAATCCTCAGTTGCCCCATTTTTTGCCCTCCTCGGTGATAGGAGAGGACACTGACTTGTGATAGGAGAGGATTACTGTGAAATGGATGTCAGTGTTACATCATCAAAATTATGTGAGTAGGAAGCAGAGTCTTCAAGTAGCTAGGGATAATTTATGTAACTGAATCAATTAGTAGCTTATTAATAATAGCTTTGGACTAGTTTTTTATTCTATATATTGTTGTATTGAAAAAGAATAACAAGTTCAGCCCATGTTCAAAAGTTGTTTTAAGAATAAAAACAAAATTGCTGAATGCTTTAGAAGTGCTGTAGAGCACAGTGACCCATCAGTGTCAGAACTGAAATGGAGCTTTATTTTAACCATGTGAAGAGTTAAAATGCTATGCAGCTTGTTGAAACCATGTGAGGTTTTACTATGCTGATGACATATCTGTACAGTGCTGATGTAGCAGTTGAAGTATCACTTGAATTGTTCCTCAGCTAATTTCACAAATACATTCATGAAGTACCAGGAATTGTGCTTGTTTTGAAGGAGATTTTACTTTTAAGAAAGCAGTAGAAAATCAGCATTAAATATTAAGGCAGCAAAAGCACATTTCAGTAACAGAGCCCAGTCAGATGTTTTCATTAGCATCTATATGAAACAGCTGAGTGAGGTCACCTAACAATTTAGGATAAAATATTCTTTCTAAGGTGATGATACCCAGTTATACATTGCCACCCCAGGCTGAGTAGAACATGCTGCAGAGGTCCTGACCTGTTGTCTAGAGACTTTGACGGACTGAGTGGAACAGGGTCAAACTAAATTCAACAAGATAGAGTGGCTGTTTATCTGAAAAACATTCTAACTTCACAGTGCCTCCAAGATTTGCTTTTCATGGAGTTGCACTATGTTGGAAGCAGCAGGTCTGCGATCTAGGGGTTCACTTGCAATTATGGTTCCTGTGTGAGCAACAGACAGAAGCCATGGATAAGAGAACCTTGCTTAGCTTTGGCTGTTGCATCAGATATGACTGTTTTTGGAGCAAGATGCTCTAGTGGCAGTGAGGAGTCCTCATCACTTCATACTTGGATTACTGTACTGTGCTATACTTGGAATTCCCTCTGCATACTATTGGGAAGCTACAGTCTGTGCAGTGCCCCACCTGCTGCATTGGCTCACAGGAGGTTTCTGAATATAATTCAGAATATTGGTAATGACCTAGAAAGCCTTTATGGCTTGGGTACTCACCTTCTTCAAGACTGTCTTTGTCCCCTCAGTCTGGAAGGGCATGCTTCTGATTCCCTTTCCTTAGAAATTTGGAGATGAGGGTCTGAAAGCAGGCCTTCTTTAGGGTGCCTGCCCTCCCCTGTTATCTTTTTGGAAAGAGATTAAGACAGTTTTCTTCCATTAGGCCTTTAAAATTTTGAGTATCACACATTTTTTATCTTTTGTGCTTTTACATATTTATTTATTTGTTTATAGGCTGATTTCAGTCTGCCCGCTCTGAGTGGCATACAATATTCAGTACATAATTGGGATTAAAAATCATACAGTCAGTTAAAAAAAAACAATAGCTAGAAATATTCCTGTGGGCTTGGGAATTGCAGATAAAGTCATTAACAATAATAAAGGAACTCAGTCTTACAACTGGGAGTCAATTACAGCAGTTCCTGTTTTGGTGAGGCAAGTAGGTTTTCACCAGTTCCTAAAAGTCAGACAGGAAGAAGCCAATTGCACATTGGGGGTGGTATTCCAGAGGAGAGAGGTAGCAACTGAAAAGGAATGCTTACTTGGCCCTTGAAGGTGACATTCTCTAATTGAGTACATGTAGCAAGCCCACCCTACTGGATCTTATTTGGTGGACAGATGTTTCAGGGAAAAGCCAATCCTGCAGATACTTTGGCCTGAAAGCACAAAGGACTTTAAAAGTTCAACCTGCACCTTGAATTGCACACAGAAGTCAACTGGCAACCAGGGCAGTTCTCAGAGTAGTGTTATGTGGGTGCCTTGAGAGTGCCCTCGCTACCTGAGCTACTGCATTCTGGTCTTCAAAGACAGCCACATCTAATGGAACACACTGCAATAGTCCAATCAAGAAGTAATTAAGGCATGAGTCACTGTAAGTAATGCCTGCCATTTCAGGAAAGGCTGTAGTTGGTTCACGACATGGAGCTGTGCAAAAGCCCTTTTGGCCCTAACTGCCACCTGCTCTTTGATCTGCCCAGAATCTATGAGTGGGGTGGCATACACAGTTATAAAACAAATACATTAAAGTGCATATGGGGGTTAATAAAATGATGAGCTTTAAAATAATCCTGAAAATTAAAATAGACTTTTTCATTCACTTTGCCAATAGATCTTTGAGTACCTTGATGGCATATATATTCCCTTCTACTTTGTAATTGATTTGATGATTCTTAGGCTACACAAAATAATGACTATCTATAACTGCTCTGAAGCGGGCTGGGGATTAGGGAGTTGGATTTTTTGTTTCCATGGCTTGCTATATTGTGCTTGATTCAGTGTGATTTAATTTATATATGTTCTAACAATTTTTCAATTTTGTTGTTTCCAGCTATTTCTTTTACATGTGTGATAAAGTGGTTGCTCCCAATGTATCCCTTAGTACTTCGGTGCCACAATGTAAAGAAACCACAAAAACTGTTGAAAAGCTATCAGAGGTATTTAAATCTTTTCCTGGGCAGTCACTGAAACAGCAAAATGGTGGCAAACGCAAAAAAGCCATCTTTTATCAGGACATCTCTCTTGAAGTACAAGAGAAAGTTGACTTAAAACCCAAGTCAGGAACTTGTCCTAGTATAGGTGAGTAAAAAATGAAACTGTTTCATAATAATAACAGTAATGGAATTACTGTTCTTGTAGAAAGTCAACAAACATTGCTTTCTTGACTTTTTGGTTCTGTAGAGCAACCCATTCCCATTAAACCTGCAAACAGAAGGAAAACAGAACAGGTCTGTTCCAGAGTGACTACAGAAGATGAGATAGAAATCAGTAATTGTGCTCAGTCCTCATCTCAGGCTCTTACCAATGGTATTGGATCTGATGATGATAAAGGGAAAATGATGGAAGAAGTAATGAAAACCTATATTAAACAGCAAGAAAGGCTACATACAATTTTGCAAAAGAAGCAGCATCTTCAAATGGTATGATGTGAATTTGATTTTATTTTAGTCTGTCTTTCACATTTTTGGCTCTAGATTAAGATGAATGTTTATAATTATGAATAATACAGTGACAGAGTTAAAAAAAGAGCAAACCTTGCCCTGCATTCTATTTAACATTTACTTGTATTAAAAGCTTACATTCACCTGAGAATGCTAACCTGACTATTGGACTTCAGCTATTATCAAGCATTATTTTTGCTTATTTATTCTTAAAGATGAAAGTGTTGCAATTACATGATGTGTTCTGTATTAAAAGATTGCTTTGGTTCAGCCCTTGATCTGATTTAAGATGCTACTTTGACTTGGACAGTTGTCCCTCCCCTTAATGCTTTGAATCATTGTTGCAGTGGGCTGACCCAGTTCAGCCTTTCTTTTTGCACGGATGAAATGGTCCCACTCTGCAGTACATGTAGAAAAGCCCCTTTTAGCATCTGGGTCAAAATGGGGTGACTACTCTCATCTAGTACTTTGAAGAGGAATGCCCCTTTGATTCAGTGCTTTGCTTCAAAACAGTGGTTTGATTAAAACTTTGTTGAATCAAAACACCCCCTTGAAGATCCATATTCCTAATAACATCTCACATTACATTGGCATGAGTTTACCCACTGAATAGGGGTAAACTATGCTCCCTAAAGTTCATGATGGAAGTTATTCAGCAGTAGCTATCTGGTAAATGGGTATCCAGGAAGTCATGAGACTTCCATTTGGTGGTAGAAGGTAGCTAGTAGAAATAAAATTAGGACAGTTACAGATTGTTGTAAACTTACATTGGTGATTAGCATTTTTAATTGAATGCACGGGGGAGAAAAACCTTTATTTTATAGTATAATATTTAAAACTGTGAGGGAAAATTTCTAAACATTTCATGCAGTAGGAGGAGAAAGGGGGAGTTAAGGGCACAAAGTTCTCATGAAGCCAGCCTGAGCACCCCAGAGTACAATGCTGAAATGATGCTTTTCCACTCTTTACTTGTATCAAGAATGAAAAGCATACATGTGTAAACATGCATGCTCTCATTTCTATATATGTGAGTGTATACATACATATGCATGCATCTGAGAAACCTGCTTGTGCTGAGTGATATACACAGATATGTGAAGAATAGCGTGCTTTCATGAAACAAAGTCCAGAACCCAAGAGAACAAATTATAATTGTAAAAGATAGTTATTTGGGTATATGAGTGAGAGATCAATCCATCTTGGTATGTAAGAAATTGAATCCACTCTACTATAATAATAAGCTTATTCTTATTAGAATAATAATTCGAAACAGTGATTTGATTAAAAGCTTAAAAGCACAAGATTTGTATCCCTACTAAGTCCTGTTTCAAATGCTGTAGAACCTGAGGGTTATGAAATTTGGAGTATAAATTTTTTTGTAATTCTGTGGTTTTGGAAACCCTATATATAAAATTGTCATTTCTTCATAGGAAGTTGAAATGTTAAGTAGTTCCAAAGCCATGAAGGAGTTGACAGAAGAACAACAAAATTTGCAAAAAGAACTTGAATCTTTGCAGACTGAGCATGCTCAAAGAATGCAAGAGTTTTATGTTGAACAAAGAGACTTAGAGAAGAAGCTAGAGCAGGTAATAAAACAAAAGTGTACCTGTGATTCCAGCTTGGAAAAGGACAAAGAAGCGGAATACGCAGCTCAGGTGAGCAGCAACATTGGGTTTCATTTGGGAGAGGGCTATTTTTCTTTGATAATGCTGAATTGCTGCTAAAAATATACAAAATATAACCTCACTAGTTCTGCCCCTCAGATGTCATGTGGAACCTAACAGGTCTGAAGAGCTGGTAACACATTGGAACTCCATGCATTCAAGACAGCAGCATATGAACTATAGCCTTATTTATCTTTAAAAACAGAGTTTCCTTATTTAGCACTAAAATATGCCTCACTTTTCTCAAGCATACACTATAGAGTGTACAGAAGAAATGCCATATATCTTTCACATCCCTACTAATTTGATTTTTCCTGCATTATTTACAGCTTGCTAACTTGGAGCTTGCTGATTCAGTTCTTTCCAAATAGTTGGGTGTGGTTTTAATGGCTGTTGAATTTCTGGTTCCTTGGCAATACAGAAACATTCATGTCAAAGAAATAAAAATATTTTCACTAAAAATAGTGCATGGCAAAGAGGAAAGAGAAAGTATAATTTAAATATTTTAAATTTGTAATGATTTTTTCTATATGTATTTGCATTTGTATTTATATTCCAGTCTGTTTTTTTTTAATGGTATGATCACTGACAAATGAATCATTTTGGAACAGAATGAACATTCCGCATATCTCACCAGGATTAAGAAACAAGTGGATGATTATACCAGCTGTTTTAACTTTTCTTTACTTTTTTAAATTTGCAGTTGGCAGAGCTGAGGCAGAGGTTGGATCATGCAGAGGCTGATAGACAAGAGCTCCAAGATGAACTGAGACAGGAACGAGAAGCAAGACAAAAGTTAGAGAAGATGATCAAGGAATTAAAACTTCAGATTCAGAAATCTTCAAAAAATGGAAAAGGAAAATAAAATACCATCCAGAATGCATCTACATTTTCTCAGCAAGGCTAAAAAATTACCTGCCAAGGAGAAGTCAAGCCATGGAAAAGTGAAGGTATTGGGCACAATTATGGAAAACTTTTCCTGTGCACTCCTGCATCAGTAGAGTAGGTGTTTGGGAACTCAACAATAATTTCTATGATGATCTGCACAAGAAAAGTTCTCAGTAGATTATGTCCAACATGTGCATATAAATCTACAATGATATGTACATTTATACAACTTCAAGACTGACCAAATCTGTATTTGTGCTGCTTTTTTTATAGTTACGAGCAACATTGAAATTTTGTTTTACAATGGTCAGTGTGTATCTGTTTATTTTACAAAGTGTCTTGAAGACTCTCTTATTGAATGCAACATTCTTGATTCAAAATACACAGTATCTACCTTTTTGCATGCAGTTCAAGAATTTAAAACTGAAAAAAAATAGAGAATTTTATTTTTGCTTTGCTCCAATATTTCATTTGGCGATGCTGTATCAAAAAGAAAACTGTTAATTGGAAATCATTAAACAGTCAAAACTACTTTAAATGCAGATTTTCATGTTGAACTTTTACACTAAATGTTAATTATTAATGGTTAAATACCAGTTATTTTAGTACTATGCTAAGTGCTGTTTTGAAAAAGGGTTGCTGAAATCGAACCTGAAACATTTTATTTATTCACTTTAGTGAGTTAAGGTAACAATTCGATAGCTAATAAGTAATTTCATAGTTAATATTGTTCTTTGAGCATTTCTAAACACCAATAAGAGCTTCATAATATCAGTCTTATTTTGTGGAGTAACAATTTTAACTATCACATGATCCAGATTACTTCATTAGCAATAACATTCCCACATATGATCTTTGAGTGCATGAAAGTAGGTGGTCTTGTTTTTTTAAAAAGTGTTACAAAACCAGTAGGGAACAAATGGGGTCAGAAACTGGGAAAGTAATGCTTATTTTTTAAAAATCCAAGGTAAACATTAACTTTTTTCAAAAACAACTTTGTTATTAAAACTTTATTTCTTTGAAAATACTAAATCTTTTTAGTATTTGACATTTGTGTGAGGAAATGTCTGGTGCTAAATAATAAGCCATTCAGTTCCAGAATTTATATAATTGGAAGTCATAAAGATAAATGGATGAAAGAATTTATGGATTTTTCTAAAAATGTTGACCAATAAAGAGTTTCATTGAACAAAGACTTTGTTGATGAAAAAATAGGAAAGTCTTGATTTGGGAAAGCAGGTTTGCATAGAAAAGGAAAGACAATGCTGATTGTGCAGAAGGCAAGAAAGATAGGGTTTTATTTTGTATATAGATTGACAAGTTCTAATTGCTCAAAATATCTTGTATTAAATATATGCCAATAGTTGGTTATGCTTCCCTATTCAGATCATTGTACATAAATAACAGTTTCACCCATCTTTCACAAAAATATTAACTTACTTTACTATAGATAAAAGTGCTTTGTGTGACTGATGGTACAAGAATGCTTGTGGGACAATGCCCTGCAAAACTGATGGAAATGTGCCTTTGCAGCATTAATTGAGGCGGCAAATATGTTCATCAGATGTCCATCTACATTCCTGTTCCTTCTGGTGGAAACCTGCAATGTACATAGATATACACTCTTTCTCCATAAAAATGTTGTATGAAGATTATTTATTTCACTATTTCACATATACATTCTATATACATCAGTTTAATAAGGACAGACCATTCCATAAGATGTATAATCAATAGGGAAACAGTGGGAAAATGGGCTAAAGGAAGGGTTTTTAAAATAAACAACTGCAGTACTAAAAACACTAAAAGTACAGCTTTCACTGAAGTATGTAAAGAATTCCACAATCATCATCTACTTGTAGATGAAGTCTTCTTTGTAGCAGGACCTATAATAATCTGATTTTGATGTCAAATTCTAGTGGGACAGTGATTTGTGCAGGCAAAGAGGAACCTTCCAATATCCTAGGCCCACATAATCTGGGACTGTAAAAGTCAGAATCAATACTATGAATTACATTGGAAATTTATTGGAAGCCAGTGGAACTGCAGCAGAATCATGTAAAGCCATAATGTGGTTGCTTTATGTTGGCTTAGCATGTTGTGTGATCTAAAGCACTAAAACCATGGCAATGGGATATGAAAATTATAATGGATTGTGTGTGTGAAGTCCCAGACAGTTCAGCTATTTCAGTTGAAGCTGGCTAAAATTTTCAGATTCTTCAAAGACAACTCATGTAAAGCACATTACAATAATTAAATAATTTGCTGCTGTGTGCAAGACAGTAGCATGGACCTTAACCTCAAAAGAATGTGTGTAATCACCACATGAAATTCAAAGAGCACATTCCAATCAAGGTGCATGTAAGCTTGTATTTCTTACATTGGAAAAGTGCGAACTTTTTAAAATAGGTGAATTCACTATTTCCTGGGTTGTTCAGTCTTCCAACAGTAAGGTATTATAGCTTATTGAGAGAGGTAATAGAGCTAATCCATTATGATCAGTAAAATCCTGTAAAACTCTTCTAAGTTACAGTTACGCTGTCCTTTCAAATGTTGAGATGCATAAAGGGAAATGGCCATATGAGAAATACTTTTTTTTAAAGTTTCCCTTATTTGATAAAATATTTTGTTTCTATTGAATACAGTTGATGTAGCAATGGAGAAATGCTTTTTTTTTTTAATGCTCTCACCCTGTATGAATTCATTTCAAACCCCAACTGCCTATGTGTTTAACAGGTTAATGGAATTGAAATGAATTGTTTGATTTCACATGGCTCATCATGAATTCTGGGAAGTGCATTTTAAAGAGCACCAGGTTGGGGAAAGAATGGCATTTGTAAGCCTGCCATCCTCGTGCTACTTAAGAAGTCTATGAAAACATGGCTGTTCCCCTAGGCCTTAGGTTAGGATGGGTGCGGAGTCCATATAGAATGTTGTTTTAAGATTTTTTTTTTCCAGATACGCATGGTTTGTGTTTTTACTGTTTTGCTGTTTCATAATCTCTTAATGCTGTAAGCTGTCCAATGAATGCCAACAACATGGCAATCCTGATGGTTGCAAGTAATCCAAGATGATCAGTGTAGGTATATGGCTATGAAATTATGGGTATAAATTGACCGGTTATATAAGGGTAAGAGCTCTTCACTTCATCAGTTTATATAGTTTATTAATTGGTTGCATATTTAAAAAATGATGCATACAATGGTAACAAATCAACAAATATAGTTAACCGTCAAGCTTAAAGCACATCTGCTTTTGGAATGAATTGTAGTTACTGGATATTACACCCAAGAAGTCTGATTATGAGATTCTGTGTGAACATTGTAGCCCGGTAGGATGAATATTACAGTATTTTGTCATACATTGAAGGCCAGTTCAGGTATCACATGTTACTATTTATGCATGTCTCAATCATCTTAAAATACGTTCTCTTGTATAAATACACTAAATGCTACTTTTTATTGCTCAGCAGTAATAGCACTGATTTCAGCAGTTGGTGGTTGTCAGTCAATAGTTATATTATCTGGATGGTTGAGAGTTCATGAAGACAAATATGTTTGACCAGAGCATGAGAGAAAAAGAGTATATGAGTAGCAACTATTTGGAAGTTAATCATTCAAATAGTGTCTTCCTTGTATTCAATACCAGAAGAATCCAAGCACAATTAGTTCAGTCAATAGAGTAGGAGATGTTTATACTTTTGAATAGAGACACATTTTTGAATGTGAATGCAAGAGAACGTTCACTGTTCCATATGGAGAAATAGATTTCTAGAGTGCATTTTAGGAACCAGCAATAGCTACTGTGTTATGTTTCCGTATGCACAGTGCAACAATTAAGATGCAAAAGTATTTATATTAAATGTTTTTGTAGTTCCAACAAATATTGATGCTGAGCTAGCAAGGGCAATTCTGACTTTATTTTAGAAAAATAAATTTATGGTAATAAGGGGGGAATGGTGAGAGAAAGTGAGCAGATTTTAGATAATTATCTTTAAACATACATAAGACCAAACTCTACACTCATAATTAAAATCATAATTGTAATTTCTGTATACAATAATTTCAGCTGCTTTGCATACGTTTTTCTGTAGATGTTAAGAAATGTATACATAGAATTGTGCCATAAGTGTCCAGTCAATAAAAGATAGTTTTATAGTAAATTGTAAATATGTTATAGAGCAAGTGATTTCTTATGTTGACCTCTTGACATAATATACTTTATGAATAATTTATTCCACTGTCTATACAGCTTGATTTGATACAAGGCTGCTCACTTTAAGAAAACAAATAATCTTGTTCATTTGAATTTGCTATTTTAGTGTGCTTATTATGTTAATTATTAAGGAAGGCTTAATAAGGAGGTTTATTTCTGGTTTATCCCTTTCATGTTTTTCTCAAAAGCTGCTTTAAATTTACAGTTAAGGAAGAGCCTTTGAAAAAAGAAAAACTAACATCCTTGTTTAAAAAAAAAAAAAAGGGAAGTTTTACGAAGAAGAATTTTAGTTCAGTAAGGCACAGCAGTGGTACCACTGATATGAAATTAAGTATTGTACACTAATATAATGTGCCCCAATCCTAAAACAAACCAGAAATATGCAAATTTCTTAGTATACAGTCTCACCCGTAAGTAACATTTCAGGATATGGAATTTCAAGCCCTTTGGAATATCCTCCCCCCAGAGGTGCAGCAGGCCCCTACCCTCCTGGCTTTCTGAAAAGGTTTAAAGACCTGGCTCTGTCAGTGTGCATGAGTGTCAGAGTCTGCATGCTCAGGTCCCAAGTCCAGTAAATCTCCTGGAGCCTCATAAGGTGATATGGACTCTCCCATCCCTGGGGGTGGTTAGCCCCCTGACAATGCTTCCTGGAATTACTCACCAACTCTCCATCTTTCTTGGAACCTATTTATTTTTAGGACTCTTTTTATGTTGTATTTTAATGAATTTTATCTCTGCTGTAAACTGCCCAGAGTTGTTTCAGTGAGATGGGCGGTAACATATTTGATAAATAAATATAAAATGTGCACATATGTACCATAATATAAAAAGAAATGAGCATTTTTAAGGATGGTAATTTTTCTAGCCTGTCTCCTAAATACAAATTAGAAGAAGCTACATATTTTACAGATAAATCATATAGGATAAAAATGGGAAGTCTGGTAACTGATTTCAGTGTGATTCAGAAGTGACTTACCATTTCTGCTATTGGGGATGCTTTTTCATCTTCCACTCTAACTTTCACTGAAATTTTATTTCCAGAGAATATGTCAGTTAAACCAAAAATAACAAAATGTTTTGTGGCATATTAAAGACACAGATTATAGATACGATGTACTGAGAAGTTAACTCCATGTCTGGGTTAAAGTATCCACAAAACCTGAAAGCTGGAATTTGTGTATCTTTATGATGTCTAAAGAATCAGGTTAATTTTCTAAACATTTTTTAAAGAGTAATTTTATTAAAAATGACAACAACAATAAAAAACCAATACAAACTAAAAAAATGAAGAAAAGTGCAGAAAAGAAGAAAATAGGAAAAAATAAAAAATAATATAGAAAAGAAATATATAAAGAAATGACTTCCCCCTTCATCACAAGTATAAACAATTTTAGTAACCTCCTCTCAAAATAGAACAAATGATCTCTTCTTCCCATATCCTATCTCTTATCTATAAACAAATCCTTAAAAACCTTGTCATTTCAGTCAATTGAGACTTGTCAGCAAAAGTCCATTAAGGTTACCTGAGATAACATATCTATTTTAACCTTGATCAAATCAACTTTATATTCCTTCCTTTTATTTTTAACAATCTTGATCTTTGGTCCCTTCAAATAATGTCCTAAAACTAGATTTCACTTTTTCTTTATCCCTTCTCAGAAAATTCTTCAAAGTTTTAACAAGTCTCTTTTTTAAATCCAATATAGGTAGATTATCCAGGTCGCTCTCTTGGTTTATTTGTATATCCCTTTTAATTATTAAGACATTTGCCAGTTTCTTTTTGTTTGTCCAGTATAGCATCTTTTTCCATATCATTCTTGTAACCTGTCATTTTTAAATCCACTCTCAGGTCAGTCTCAATCTTGTCCGGTAAAACTTGTTCCTCTTCCATAGCATCTTTTAAACACAGTCTATCCATAGAGGCAGATACTCTTAAAATTGACTTCTGGGACCATTGTTCAAAAATATCCTTCAGTATGTTGAATGTTAAAATATTTTGCTCCATTCTGTATTAGTCAAATTCAAGTGTTCTTCTCTTTTAATTGTAATCTTTAATTCCTTCTAGTTTCCTCTAGTGTTCAACTTTCAAAGTCCCATCCTATCATGTTTTGTTTTAAGGAATTCAAAACAAAAGCATTTTCCCATGGGAAGGATTTTTACAATTCCAAAAACTTACTTCAAATGTTTCTGGACCCTTAGTTTGTTTGTAACTTTCTAAAAGTTTTAATCACCCTTTTGCTGTTTATTCCAGAAAAAAAAATTAAGTCCTTAAACTTGCATTTAATACTTCTTTTGCTAACAGTTGAAGGAAATTCACCCGGTGCTATAAAACCTGTTGATCCAAAGTTTCCTAATAGCTGAAAAGTGATTAGAAAGGCAAGTATGTGAACCCAGTGTCCTTCAAGATACCAACCATGGATTGAGCAAGATGTCTTTTCCCTTGTCTCCCAGAGCTCTAAACCCACCAGGGACTGTTGTCTTGCGGTCTCCTTGCAAGGAGCAATGTCTGGAGCACTTGTGGGCGATCTCAAATCCTCTCCTTGTCCGGAGAGGAATTATTGAAGAGCCAGTCTATTCACTGGTTCTTCATTCTGCCGTGGTTGTCAGCTCTGCTCACCATTTCTTCCCTGGAAGAATTTTCTAAATGTTTCTCTTGGTGTCTATGAAGGATTAAATACTGAGACCCAGAATGATAGTGATTAGATAAGATAGGCCTGCTCTTTAAACTAGGCATGATAACCTGTTTCTGTCCCACCTACCAAATTATATGCCTGAATTTTTTTAGAGAAGGCACTCGTTTCTGCAAGAAATGTGCAACTGCACTCTTAACCAGAGTGGCAGCACTAAAGATCCCAGACTTGAAAAGAAGTGTATTTCAGACAGATGTTGCTTTCCTTTTTGGTTTATATTACTTAAAGTATTTTAGGTAAGTGCGATAGCTTTACATTTTTGGATTAATGTTAATTATATATTTAATATATTGATAGTTGTAAAATAATTTGTACATAGCCAATGTATTGTATTGGCACCCTTGGAATAAGATACTCTGGGGAAGGATTCCAACAGCAGCTCGCCTTCTCAATGCTGCTTAGCTCTGCCTCCTTGAATCCTGCAGTGAATATACTTCCATATTTAGCTTCAGTTTCAAACTGCAGAATTTTCAGCTGGAGCAGCTGGGGGATGACTTGCAGATATAGGATGATATAGCTGACCTCAAAACACCCTCCAAGTCAACTCTCAAAAATTCTTAGGAAAGCGTAAATGCTTATTTCTTTTTGCACAGAATATGGAACAATATCAGGAGTATGTACTGTATTGTTAAAAATCTGATTGCGTAATGCAACAACACACCACTTGTAATCTTAGGCTAGAAATGCTTCAGTGTACAGTATATTGCAAATGTAAAATAATTCTGCTCAGCAAGCAACAGCTTGATATTTTGATAATACTTTCTACAAGTTCTTCATTATTGTATTTATCATAATGTGAGGCAGTCCATAATTTCAGTACAGGAAATATTCTGATTAATACTGTTGCAAATGTTCTCTGTTGTAAAAGCAAAAGTCCTATCATTTACAGATTGCACAAATGTATCTTGTAGTACAGCCACAATTTGGAAGGTGGTTTAGATTATATAGTGATGTGTAATATTCAAACACCAAGAATCTCCTTGCGCCCCCCCCCACCCCAAATGTCTCTTTAAGGACAGCTATATTTTTTCAAATACCTCTCATTAAGAAAAGGGAAGCACAGCTGTAATGCATCTATTTTGGTGAATATACAGAATTTCTGGTCTAATGCTCTTGGTGCAACTACATTACCTTCAAAATAAAGCAAATCAGCAACTGACAGACTTCTATTTTCTGTGTATTCATGATGCTTTTGAAAACGTTTATTGATATCAATCTTAATTGTTCCACAGTCTTGAAAAATATGTAAGTATATTTTGAATGCTCAGTGGGACCTCTGACATATATCTTGAACAGAATTTCTCCCTACTATATATAGTTGTATGGCATGTTGTCTTCTATCATCCATCCATCCATCCATCCATCCATCCATCCATCCATCCATCCATCCATCCATCCATCCATCCATCCATCCATCCATCTATCTATCTATCTATCTATCTATCTATCTATCTATCTATCTATCTATCTATCTATCTATCATGCCCAAATGGTCACATGAAAGCTCTTGGACTAACCTGCCTCTCTGGATTGTGTTCAAAACATTTAGAATAGTTTATGAGAATTACTCTTAAGAAATGTTCTTCAAGGAGTCAAGGCAAGAAGTAGGTTGGTCAAATGTAGGCCTAAGACAAAATGTTTGGTGCAAACCAAGAGTTTTCCATGTTTTGCCAATGATGTACAGTTTGAGTTCATTATGTGACACACAAAACTGTCCTCTACCTCATGTGATTCAAAACAAGACAGAACAAAACAAGAGATTTTGTACAGTTTTAGTAAAAAAAAGAGAAATACATTTAGTTGTTCACTTAGTTTACAAATTTCGAATTCTATTTATTAAAATATGGCATACTGTGCTCTTTGCTTATACCTCAATTGTATTTTGTGCGGTTTTCCATTTTTCATGCATTGTAAATATCCTGTATAGTTTGTGATCCACATTCAAATAAACAATTCAAATGTCAAAGATTTCATCTTTTCTTATCCTTTGTACAGATAGTCTTGTGAATTGAATGTTTGTTCCAATTATTTCTCAATGCTAGTTTTGTAGACAATGTCCCATTCACTGTAGTCTTTATAATGGCATAAATCAGAAGACCTCTATGGCTATCAAAGCTGAAAAGCGTGGCTTCCCACTGTATTTACCTCTGTTGAAAAACAAATTAAGATTTTTGAAATGGTAACAAAACCTCTTATAACAATCATTCCCTGACTCCGATTATTTTGTTTGCAAAGCCAGGAGAATGAAATTTGGTCAAGGTAATGACAATTCTGCCCATCATTCTGAACAACGCTTCATCCCTCATCACCTCATTTTTTATAATTTTTGAATATATAGCCCTGAATAGAAGACGAGTATGCAATCTCCTCACTCCAAGCAGTTGCAGATTGTTAAGTCGGGCTGCTTTGCCATTTATCACCAGACTTTGATGATAATGAAAACATATAGTTATCTTGGCTACGTTATAGCTCCTGGTGGACCAAAGTGTACCAAAAGTCTTCTGCATACAACTGGGCTGATCAGCCTGGAGTTGATCTACAGAGATAGACAGATAGATACAGGTAGTCCTCACTTGCTGACTGCCTTGTGCAGCAACCGTTCAAAGTTATGACAGTGCTAAAAAAATAACTCCAACCAATCCTCACATTTACAACCGTTGCAGTGTCCCACAGTCATGTGATCACCTTTCATGTATTTCACAATGAAATACACATTTTCATTTGTGACAAGCAGAGTTAATACTGTACAGTATGGAAGGCTGAAGTAAAATTGTAAGTCGTGGTCACGTGATTTTACGCTTAGCAACTGCATTGCTTTGCTTAACTGAAGGGGAAGTAAGGTCATAAGCTCAGTTGCAGTCATGAGATTTTCTGCTGAGCAACTCTGTTGCCAGTCCCAATCGTCACTGAGGACTACCTGTGAATATATAAATCAGTCTTGGTGCATTCCAGGTGTATGGGCTTCAGTTCACACA